AGTATTTGAAATGAATCATCCCCATGTGATGTCTGAATAACACATTTTGTTTTCAAATGACTTTGTTATCCAGACATTTTGTTATAGACAGACAGCAGTGTTACCGAGTTGTAAACAATGAACACATGTTCATACTCACTGCACAACAATACCCCAAATGTTGACAATGGCTTCCTGCTGTTGATTCACAATTTCATCATTGGCGGGGGTGATGGATTTAGGAATTTAACACAGAATCAATTTTATGTTTATGTGACCGTGTGGTGTGATTGTATGGGTTCAGGGCAGCTCCTGTGGCTCTGTGAGATAAATTCAGAGGATGCAGTGACCACTGGATACTCTGGCGTTCTTAAAATAATCCTAATTGTAGGTCTGCAGATGGATTCTGATGGGAAATGGACAATTTTGGTCCACAAGGCCCACAAATGTGCAGTTATTATAGCCGAGCCAAGTTTAGCACATTCTTTCTGTATGAAAAAGCATCCAACCTTTGAAATCAGCTTGATAGACTTAAAGCATAAAATCATTCTTTGGCATTCTCTTTAAAGAGCGAGCCATCAAGGTGAAGTTAAATAAAAATACGTCTGGAAATGGTTTCACAACCCCTGCATCTTTTAAGATGGCCTGGCCAGTTTTCTATTTTGTTGCCAAGAAGAAAGCTTAAATCATCATCGGTTATTTGTCAGAAGAGAACTAAAAACAAATGCTGAGACAAGAGCCTGCGAGCCAGCTCCTGCATGACCGCTGGACATAAATTAGACCAATCACAGCAAGGGTGGTGTTTGCCACCGTAGCCCACTGATGGTAATCTGTCTGGCCCATGCCAAGCTTTTAAAGGTGGCCACACTCGCTACATTACGATTGCTACAATTACAGCCTTCCAAAGCCCATTACCTGCTGATCTCTATTTAAAGCTACTGTAGCAAGCCTGTCTCAACATCCACCTTTGATTTGAGACTCACCTAAATAGAGGTAGCTTACACAATACACCATGTGCACTGATTGGATGTAATGATAGATATTTTCAGGCAGGAGTAATTTTTTCCTGTAATTTGGGAATTACATCAGACTAGGGTTAGTATTTTTCTACAGTATTTTATAGACTCAATATCTTTAAATGGGTCTGATAATAATAGTCATAAAGAATGTGTCACGGTTTGTGAAACAAGCAGGACCCAAATGCAGATATAAACTGAAACTTCCTTTATTTCAAGGCTATGATATATATATACAATGACAAAACAGAACACTCACCGCAGAACTAGTCAGGGAACAAGACGAACCGACCAAGACAGACAGACAACCCAGAACTTAAATACACACAAGACTCAATCACACAACAAGACACAGGTGAGGAGGGAGGAGAAAACACAGGGGCCCAGGTGAACATAATCAGACCATTAGACACAACAGTCTGCGAGACCTCCAACGACACTTGAGTGGGTTGGTTCGCCAACAGAACCCGGGGAGCTGGCGTCGGACGGACAGCCAACAGGAGACGAGGTGCTGGAGTCGGCCGGTAGTCGGCGGCCGAGTCTGAGCCAGGAACATGGGGAGCTGGCGTCGGACGGACAGCCAACAGAGACGAGGTGCTGGGTCGGCCGGTACGCCGACAGGACTCGAGGAGCTGGCGTCGCCGATGAGTCAGCAGGTGACGAGGGGCCGGAGTCGGGACCATGGTTACTGGAGCCGGCACTGAAGCCGGGAACATGGCTGTAAGGTCCGGTTCTGGAGCCGGAAACATGGCTGTAGCGCCGGTTCTGGAGCCGGAAACATGGCTGGTGTGGGGCCGGCACTGGACCCGGAAACATGGCTGTAAGGTCCGGTTCTGGAGCCGGAAACATGGCTGTAAGGTCCGGTTCTGGAGCAGGAAACATGGCTGTAAGGCCGGCTCTGGGTCCAGGAAACATGGCTGTAAGGTCCGGAGCCGAAGCCTGGATCCTGGCTGTGTAAGCCAGGTAATGGAGTATGGAAGCAAAGCTGCGTGGGCCGGCACTGGAGCACGGAGCCACGACTGCTGGGTCTGGCGCTGGAGCCGGAACCATGGCTGTTGGGCGCGGAACCCTGGCCTTGCGTCTCTTAGGAGTTTTTTGGAGGCTTCGTGGACCCCCAAACGCCAGACCAGACCCCAAGAAAGGGTCAGAAAATGAGGACTGGCTCTCAGGGCTACGTGAAAAAATCCTAAGCCACTCGGGCAACAAGCTCCAGAGCCAGGGCTTGCGAGCAACCTCCTGACGTGCCTCCTTCAACGCAGCCTCTCTACCCCATCTAGATGAGGCGCCTTTCCACGTATAAAAAATATACTCCAGAGAATATCCAAGACGTTCCGCCTGTAGCTTCAAAAGATCTGCTGGGTCCATTTTAAGGTCGGTTCGTACTGTCACGGTTTGTGAAACAAGCAGGACCCAAATGCAGATATAAACTGAAACTTCCTTTATTTCAAGGCTATGATATATATGTAAAATGACAAACAGAACGCTCACCGCAGAACTAGTCAGGGAACAAGACGAACCGACCAAGACAGACAGACAACCCAGAACTTAAATACACACAAGACTCAATCACACAACAAGACACAGGTGAGGAGGGAGGAGAAAACACAGGGGCCCAGGTGAACATAATCAGACCATTTGACACACCAGGGAAACTAATGACAAGAGGAAAACACAGGGAAAAGGACCAGACAATAACCCAAAGGAAAACATGACATGGAAAACAGCAAAAACACCCAAACCTACAAAACTATAAACGTGACATAACATGAGAATCGTGACAGAATGTGTCCATTCAAATAAACTCCTTATTAAATCTGGTTAAATGTATTTACTATAAACAGTGAAAAGAGTAGTTTTTGGAAATATGAATATCCACTTATTTTGACAGAATTAGAGGGTAAAAAAGGGTATAGTTATATAGCTAAGAAAAAAAATGTGTATTCAATATGTGTAAGTATTTCAGGACAATTAATTTGTTGTTTTTGCTATATATAGACTGCAACTCTATCAAGATGTTTCAGTTGTTTTAATTTAATTTGCCAAGACTCAACTTTTCTAATTTCCTGCTCCGTCAGAAATCCTGCTACCGCCCTGTATATAATGCCACTCTTAAAATTCATGAATTTATGTCGGAGTTTTCCCAGGTTCCAGAGCAGAGAGATATCAGCATAACCCCTCCACCACAGCTACAGAGTCAAGATGTTGGACCAGAGTTCTGGGGAATCGGGGAGCGGCAACTGCAGAAGCCCAAAGCGGGCAGCCCTGCTCACCAAGCTCAGAAACGTTCAGACTCAAAACCACAATTGGCAAACGGAGCAGTGACATCAGCGTCTCTGCACCACATTTCAGTGAATTGCATCTGAGCTGCATATGTACGGCACAATTGAAAACAGACACATCCATGAGTTGGGTGCAGGGTAGTGAAGGCAGTGTGCACTCCGTGAACACAGGGAGCAGCAGAAGTGTTGACCTTCAGTGATACTGAGCAGATGCCAGTAAGTCACAGGCCAAATAAAATGATATGGCTTTCCCAAACTACTGTGTCAGAGCAGATACTCTATCTCATTTCACTTCCATTGTTCTTGTCTTGTTCCTCTCAGTTTTCTCACTTTATCTTTGCTTTAACATGTCATGTTGTCCAAAGTCACAACTTCTGCATTCTGTTCTTCATTCTATCGGAAAAATGGTGTACAAGAGTTACAGGGAACTCAAACATGACTGTCTTTGACAATATTAAATCATTGTAGATCTTTCTTTTCCCATCACTAGTGGCCACAGGATATGTAAAGTCAACAACTGGAACAATTGCTAGCTTTACAGGAAATGAGATTATCATCAAGTAGGTCATTCAAAGTTAAGATGACTCAATGTAAACATGATCATTATTGCAGAGGGGACACATTAACAGCTGTGATCAGGCAAAGTGGACAGGAAAAGATGTACAGTATGTCTATGGCCAGAAAGGCAGTCAACTAAAATGATTCCCACTGAGGGAATACACAAGCCACGGCCAACAGAAGCCATACCAGCCTCCCTACGTTTCAGGGGAGTTCAGTTGTATGGAACATCTGTGTCAATATTATGGAGGTTTTAGGGTCCTCTGTTCTTTTTAAGAGGCGGAAAGGGAGTAGAGATTGCAGCTCTACAGCCTGGAGCCAGAGGGGTGTAAAGCAGGTTTTGGCAAACCTTACAGGAGAACCAAAACAAAAAAGTGGTCCAAAGTTTGCCCCTGTTTTGCAATATCACGACTCAACTTTCATATTGATTTGTGTTATTCTTTCTATTTCTTTTTAAGTATGACTACTCATTTTGCTGGGTTTTATTAACAAACACATGATGATTCTATAGGAATAACTCTAAAAGGCAGATTTGTAGACATTGTTGTGCCACGAACAAATAAGCCAGAACTTCTGACTTGTTTCCCGTGTGTGTGTGTGTGGCGCCTGCTCACCATCTGTGAGCTATTTTTAGAATGCGCACGCTACGTTCGTTGTGTGTGTGTGTGTGTGTGTGTGTGTGTGTGTGTGTGTGTGTGTGTGTGTGTGTGTGTGTGTGTGTGTGTGTGTGTGTGTGTGTGTGTGTGTGTGTGTGTGTGTGTGTTTAAGTCATACATTTAATTTAATTTTATTGCGTAGGCTAAATAATCAAAACAAGAGGACCCAAGCTTCATTAAGTGCTGTAAATAAATGTTACAGGCTAATAGCCTAAGGCTTTTTCTAATGAATAGGCCTAGACTTATAGACAGTAAAGGTCATTTAATTATACAAGCCCATGTATAGACTCATTTCCCACAACCTTGAATCATAACGCTTTTTTGCCTGAAAACTGACTTAAATTCATTTTGATTATGGAAATGTTGCGGATAAACTTTTTGCTTATTGATTAATCGACTCATTATTAAAACTCTGCCTGTGTTTACAGAAACAACGCAAGTCCGGGGGTGTAGAATAATAGCCTTCAACATCAGCCTTATAGCTGGGCATCCAGCTGCCTCCCCGCTGGAGAGGAGGGATGTTTCCTCAGTCTGTGCCGTGGTGTAGGGGCTGTTGCCTCAGCAGATCCCAGCTCAGTCCGTCCAGAGCAGCGGCGGGGATGAGCGCTGGGGACTAGGTGCCAAAGCAACAACGCATTTCACAGGTAAGAGTGTCGCCAGGTCCAACGACACACCGTGTTTAATTCAGGCTTTCGTCGGGGTTCTGTTTTTATTTTATTTCCACGTCCCATTCGTTTGGCTGAGGAGCTGTTTTGAGAAAAAGGCTACACAGAGGTTGAGAGTCGCATCTGCTCTTCGTTCAACATTTCCAGCTGTCCCTCAACTTGCCGCCTCCTCGGTGCTCTCCTGTCCGGTGTCCGGCTGTCCCTGCCTCCTCCGCCCGGATAAGAGGATTTAGGACCGCACTGGGGCACTTTAACCACGCGACATTAGAAGGTGAAGGAGTGAGAGGATGGCGGTGTTTGTGCCTTAACTTGAAGCGTCTGCGGGGGCGACTGCCACTATTTGCGGACGCGCTTCTATCAGCTGAAGGTTAAAGATTGCTGATGGAGCTAGCCCGGCTAGCGTTAGCCCCCTTATGAGCCGTTATATTTCTCTGGAAGAGAGGCCAAACTCCGTTCAAATTACGCCGTTTTAGCTTTCGAGCAGTAATTTATATCGAAAGAAACACTAATTTAGGAGTGCAGTGAAACCTCCAGACCATGGCTTGTATTCGCTTGGCATTTTGTGATACTCCACAATTACTTGTTGTATTACATTTTTAACTTGTAGACTTGCTTTGCCTTACATTTTCTCAGTGGGACTCCATCCTTAATGTGCTGTGGTGGGCGACAGTAAGCAGTTGGAGTTATAAAACAGACATTGAAACACAGTCTGAATAGTGGGTCATCCATCCGCCGAATAAAAAAATGGACCTATATTGATCCATAGAAGGTCTTAAGTGTAATTAGGTACGCATCCTTTCCTTACTGTAACGGACCCCTGAACGGGCAGATGTTTTAACGGAATTTGGCGTGGATTCTCCCTGCATCTGTGATCTGCGCGCATCTGGGCTAGGCTAGTATGCTACGGCAGCAAACGGAACCAGCGGGGCTAGCATCATGCCAAGCCTGTCAATCATTTCGTAACGACATGATGACAACACTCGGGTCCAGTAACGTGTAGCTCTCGGTTCTGCGTGGATGCTTGAGAACACCAAATGGCGATGGAAATGAGCTGCAAACGGCACTTGGCAAATGGTATGCCAAGTTAAGGTTGCTTTGATGTTTGCATGCTGTCACTTTGTCACACCTGCTGTTTGCATGATGATGGCTGCTGCTTGACCTCTCTTCTCCTTCCCCCATGCAGCCTCCTGCATGCACTGCTCACAACCTTGCATGCATACACCGTCAAAACAGCCATCCGACAGCCAGTTTGCTCTAATTGGTTAATGATATGCTATATTTAAGATTTGCATTGCATTTAATATTTATAGCTGGACTGAACATGTCTAACAGCATAGCCTTTAGTAATAATGAATAGCCTACAAGACTGGATGGATAAAACACTTAGGCTATTGTTAACTCACACCTCAAATTATGCCACAGTGTTTGCAATTGCTTAATTGCTTTAATTTGAGAAGCTCTTGCACATAAATTGTTATTGTCACCTGGGGACCTCTGGAGGCCACATTGTCAAAGCTAATACTTCACCTGGCCTGTTCAAAATGATCACTCAGTTATTACAAAGTTTCTGCAGTGAACACATGGAGTACCATCATCTTAAGTAGGTGTTTGTTTAGTTTTCTTAATTTATCCCTATGTCTTATTTGAGCTGATGTGTCATGGCCTCAGGTCTGATTATTTTAGGTTGTGTTACTTATAGTATTTAAGGAAGTTATATTAACATTGCCCCGGAGTGCTCTGTTCCTTCCTGCCAAAACCTTTTCATAGCTCAGTGAGCTTACATCAAAAGCTGTTAGTCAATGTCAGTAAAAAAAAAAGCATTTTCCTCACAGTTTGCAGGAGTTGTGGATAACAGCAGATGATTAATTATAAAGACAAAAATACTGCAAGACAGAGCACAGACCAGCACCAGCTAGTGTGCATTTTCACACAAAAATCGTAGGTGTGTGTGTAGGCCCATGTGTGTTCTGTGGTTGGTCTTTCACACATCCTTGAGACCAGGATGGTGTGTGAACACAAGGCCCTGCTAGATGCCCTGAGGGGGGTGAGGTATGGTGGGAAGGGGAGCATATTAAGAAGGGAAGCAGCTCATTAATTCCTTCCAGCAGCGGAGGAAAGGGTTGGTCAGCGAAACTGGAGGGGCCCTCCACGGCTATGAAATGAGTCATACCAGTTCAACTTTCAGAAGTGGTCCAAAGTGTCTGCGATAAGTGTGCGCTTGGATAACTTCCTGGTGTTGCAGGCAGTCTGGTTATCCCAAGGCTAGACTTTCCATTTCCAGTAATCTTGTGTGTGTGCAGTAGCTGTTTAAGCTCTCTGTGTTCAGTTTCATTTCTAGGCCAAGTGCATCAAGAAAATGAGTTTTTCCGCCATTGGATAGCAAAAAGCCTTTGAAAGTCACCCGATGTTTGCCCGGTTACAGGGATCCCCTCGGAGGTCCTGCCTGATGTCACATGTGATGTCAGAGCAGAGGTGACGCAGGCAGGAGGAAAAGAGGCTGGTGGATGAAGCCAGCCAGAAACGTGTGAAAGCAACTGACATCTGCCAGTGTGCGTCTCACAGTGCGAATGCAGGGCGGAGAATGTGAAGAATGAAAAGGCGTGCATGCACATAGTGTATATAGTGTCATGTCCATATGCTAGCAGGTTGATGTTCACATGTTTGGCAGATGGTTCAGCTGCCTGCTTTGTGATTTCTGCATGTCAGTTTTATGCCAGTGTGGTGATTGAGCCCTTGAGATAACCCTGACCATTCATTTCCATGTGTTTACATAGCACTTTTCCAACACTTTCCTTACATTGCGTGGGAGAGCCCTTTCATCCCACCTGTGACCTGCGTCACAGTCATCCGTCAACACGTCTCTGTCGTTGCCACGTCCTATCAGCTGTCTTTAAACATCATACTCTTGATGTGCTTAGGCTTATTTAATGAAGCGTGGTCTCTTTGATTGTTCAAATATATTCACGTTGGGTTGTTTATTACCTTTCCTACATAATACTGTGCAACAGGCATGCTGAGTCCATCTGATTAGCAGGAAGCCAAAGCGTGCTAGCCCTTTGATCACTGTGTTTCTGGCTGATAAACCATGCCACTGTCACTTCTAGCAAGCTTTGGACCTTGACAGACACTAATTACCATGAAGTTGGGAGTAGTTCAGTGCAGGTGAAGCCTACTGTGCTGCAGAACAGTGCCTCGTTGGATTAGCGTGCCTACTAACCCTCTTTTATGTTTTGTTTTTGTTCCTCTTATGTAATGATTTTAAAATGTTTAGATTTTAAATAAATAAATAAACAATTTGCTCTTAATGATTCGTTAAATCAAGGTTAAATATATTAAATTAAAACAAGCTGTTGTGTTTTGGAGCCAATGTGTTGCCCTGAATCTCCCTCTGTATATTAGGAGTGTTGGATCAGTTGAAGGAAATCTCATGATGTCAAATCGCTGCATTTCAGCTGAACTGAGCTAAGCCTGCTGTGCAATGGAAAATGATTCCATTGATATAATTACCCTACATCGTCACTGTCTTACTGGTTGCCGCACAGCTTAGCCTTGTGCATTAATGAGCTATTGGCTATACTGCTCTTGTGCGTGAGCCAGTTTTTATTAACAATTTGCTTTGGATTCTAACACTGATACTGCACTAGACAAATGTTTAGCTAGAGTACTTTTTGACAATCTGAAATGAATCAGAACCAGACCATACTGTTTCAGACTGTGATGTGTTGGAGTATGCTGGAATAAAAACATCCCCCCACTCCCCATCCCATCCTGCCTTTGATTTCGCTGCCAGTAGAGTCTGACTGTAATAAGTTTTGGACTGAAGCAATGCAGCAGGAATATTTTAACAGCCCGCGCATGCTATTGTCTTGGAGCTGCCATTCACAAAAGCAAAACAACTGTTGCCATGGGATATGCTCAACCAAATATTGTAAGTGGGTGTTTTTTGGCTAAACCTTTCCACATGAGCTAATTGACTCACAATGCTCGGGCCCTGCCTGTTTTTACTCTCTACTACAAGGGCGTGGATGATAGTGAAAGCACATGGGTTGCAACGCGGTGATTTTGGAATGGATAGTAAAATATTTTTGTTGTTACCCATCATTTGTTAACAGATTTCCCCTTTTTAGTTTACAAATCTGTTTTAGAGGTCTTCTACTTCAATTTCTCACAATTGCAAAAGGTCATAATTGCCCTAAACTACAGTTGAATGGTTCCCAAGCCCAGTGGGATTCTTCTGATAGATTGCCAGTGTCCAGAGGGCAGATAGCTCCCCAGATAATATGCCCACACTTTATGTTGCTGAGTTACAGTCCACCTGAAGTGCAGAACATTGTGCTTTCCCGAGGTCAGTAAAGGAAAAATATGGCCGAGGTTGTTTGGCTGTTTATTTCTCCGGCCCTGGCCAAAAACAGGCCTCCAACTTCTTTCCCCAGGACAAATGAGAGCCTGCAGAGAGCCTGATTGGAAACATTTGCGACACCGTCGGCTCTCCTCCGTCCTCACAGCGACGTACTTCCTCAGGAAGAGATACGTCCCCTTTGCTGGACACAGTGATGTCACATAGATAAACAATCTGCGTACCATTGCTGTTTGCTGAATGTGATGGGCTGTCATCCCTGAGAAATCCCTGTGCGTGCACAGTCCTAACAGATGCAGACCGGGGACTAGCCAAGTACACACCCACTCGGGTCAGTTGCTATAGATCCAAGGAGACTGGCAACAATGTGGTGGAGAGGTGCGGCTCTTGTGGAATATTTTGGGAAGCAGGCTAATTGTCTTTTTGGTTCCAGGCTCTGGCGTATAAGATTTCTTTTGTTGTGGTGATTTTAGGCTGGAGCCTGTAAAATCCAGATTTGTTATTGTCTGTATTTCATCACTTTAAGGAGGCCCATGCTATTTTAACACATCTCAGTGTCTACTCAGGACAACATGTATCACTTTCTCGATATGTTTTTGACCGAACATCTTCTGTTTTCCTATTTTAAGCCTCTTATACAGTTTATTTTCAAAGTATGTAACCCAGCCTGAAATCTGGTCTATTACCGAACACCCTCTAGCTCTGTACTACTGTCTCTCCCAAAGGCCTGATCTAGGTCTCTGTCCTGCATTGTCTGCCACCCATGCTGTCCCTCTGCTTCCCTTCCTCCACACCTCCCCACTATGCCCTCATCTCAATTGGGCCATGAATAAGGAGCTGACACCAAACTGTCAACCTGCAAGCCATCATGCCCCTGCAGCTTTCCGTTAGTTTAGCCACCAGTAAGGGCACAGGCCCCCTAAAACAGCTTAAAAATGCTTGTTTGGGTTTTTATTAAACAAGTCGTGGCCTTGACAAAAGTTCACTTGATGTCAAAAGCAGAGGTCTTACATCTTTCACTGTGTGGAAAAATTTAAATGACCGTACTAGTGTACAGTGGCTGATTAGAGAAAATGCGGAGGCTGTTGTGAGGGTCGTCTGTAGGGAAACGCTGGCCCTCATGTGGTTTCTTTTTATTTTCAGCTTACTTTTCAGCACATCCATAAACTGTATCATTAATTTCTCCCTTTGAGCGAGCCGTGTCATTAAAATACAGAAGATCTGCCACTTTTTTTTCTTCCAGTTGCCGAATTCAAGAGCCTGTAATGCCAGCCATACAAGAAGGCATTGTAGCGAAACACAATGTTGTTGTGTTTAGAGGAATGAAAGCCGACCATTGTTGCATACCGTTGCTGGAATCCGAGGTTTTATTTGATATAAAATGGGTAATTCCATTGCGTAATAGTATTAGCAGTATTTAAACGGGGCTTGTCATGGGAAGGAAGGAGTAGGGATGGGGTAGTGGTGGAGGAATGAATGAGAGCAGGTCACTTTACAGGAGGAAATCCTCACTTTTACTGATGATAGAGATAATCCTCATTTAGTGATGACACCAAAAGCAATTGCCTTAGATTAAGGGTTTAGCTAGATTAGAGAGCATATGGATTTGCAGTCAAAACAGGTTAATGTGCAACGATCATAACAAAAATGAATTATCATATAAATGAATTTAGCCTCTAACCTTAAGCTCAATTAATTAAAACTTTTGCCTGCATGGTTGGAGGGTTTGGCTTCATCTACAGATAGAAAAGGGTGGTGATACCAATCTGCCACTGATCGTTGAGTCTGATACGGGCTTCTCTAAAGCTGTAGGGAGACCTGGCTTTGGTTGTTAATGTAAATCATAGAGGGACAGAGTTGACATTTTAGAGAAATATTACTTTGAATAATCTGTAGTGACAAATGACCACCGATATTAACATTTTGGCTCCATTTTGTCTGCATTGTAAGTATTTCACAGACACTGTGCCTTTTTTAACATGTTCACTGGCCTGTTGCCCAGCAAGTTCAACTGCAGTTCATGAAATAACAGTCAATGAAAATATATACATTATCCGAGGTCTGCATGTTAATCTGGATGCGAAGAAAGAAAACCCATTTTTTGACTGTGTTCTCAAGAACCTCCCTGCCAAACTCACAACTTCCCTCTCCTTGAGGAGATTACTCAAAACGTCAATGGGTAGAGTTAAACTCAACAAAAGTATTAACTGGGTAAGCGCCAAGAGTCAATCCTCCAAAGCTAACAGGTTTAAGGTTTTAAATGAAAAAGATAATCGTATTAGAGAGCCAGACATACAAAGAGAGCGGCATTTCACGGTCTTGGATCCTGTTAATCACCAAGTAGTCTATCCTAGGCTTCAGGTACATGGTGGGGGTAGGGATGAGGGAAGACGCTGGAGGAAAAAAGGAGAACAGAAGAGACGCTGCCCTCTGAGTCAGGACTCCTTTCATAGATGGATTTTGTCATCTCTGTGGGACGATCAAGCCTAAACAAATGCTAAGAAGCAAAACAAATGCTAATCTGCTTGCAGCTGAATACATTTCAGTGAGGCTGTGTCGGCCGTCTGTTTTTCAGAAGCAAAAACAAGCAATTTTAGAGGTGCCATTAAGCAATCATAGTGTGATTGGCTTTTAAACTGTCTGAACAGCATTTTCATTCTGGCAACGAGTCTCACACTGCTATTCCTGAATGCCATTTCTTATTAAGGACAGCCAGGTTGTTGGCAGTTAGTTCCAGTGAAGAGTATTGAATGAGTGGGCTGCAGCAGCATCTGTCCTGTTGACAAGGCAGCAAGCATGACTTCATCAAGGCCGTTACATCATCAATTAAATTCTTCATCAGTCATTATTATTAATGTCATTTTTTGGGCCGAAAGCAAAGGTCATAATGCTATTCCACCTATAAAATGTATGTTATTTGCAATGTTATTGCAATATCCCTTGTTTATCTGTTTATCTTGTGTCCCTCAACAACTTAACCACCTTCAAGACCAATTAAAACACTGCATGGGTGCTTGTAAAAAAAACACAAAGCGAGGGGTTGCATCGATGTATTATTTTCATTATTGAGTAATGTCAATGATTTCCTTGATTAAGTGAGATTTTATTTTCTCGAAATGTATGCTAATACATCATTACAGGGCAGGTTTAGTCCAACCGGTTGAAGAAAAACTGAAAATATGCAATTGCATTTTATAGAAGAAATTCCCATTCAAGGAGCTGGGACCATTGACATTTTGACTTTTGTGCAAGTAAATTACATACCAGTTACATTTTCTGTACGGCTAATCATTTAAGCTCTACATTGCATTACATTGCATTACATTGCATTACATGACATTACATTACTCTACACACATGCACACACACACACACACACACACACACACACACACACACACACACACACACACACACACACACACACACACACACACACACACACACACACACAC